TTTTATTTTATATACTTTATTAATCCCCCTGAGGGGAATTCATTTTTTTCACTCTGTGTCATTAACACAAAGGTCCGAAAGACACACACATGCACAAACAGGACCTATACATGCACAAAGTGGAGAGATGTCAGAACAACAACAATTTAAACAGAGTTTGAAAAGATAAGAAAAAAATGACAACACAAACTAAACAAAAACATATTTTTTAAATTAAAATGTTAATAAATCTTAATAAAAATAATTGGCCGCTCTGACAACATCAACCTGATATCCAACAGTCTTGGCAACCTATCCAATTTCATCAAACCTCACGTCAAAAACCTTGGTTTCATTTTTGATTCACCACTCAAGTTTGATAAACAGGTCAATTCAGTAGTTAAAACCATTTTTTTCCAACTCCGCACCATTTCAAAACTCAAGCCATTCCTCACATTCAAGGACCTAGAAAAAGTCATCCATGGATTACTGCAATTCACTGTACACCGGAATCAATCAATCATCTCTCTCCCGCTTACAAATGGTACAAAACGCTGCAGCCAGACTTCTAACAGGAACCTGTAAGAGAGACCACATCACCCCCATCCTGGCCTCTCTCCACTGGCTACCTGTTCAATTCAGAATTGATTTTAAACTGCTTCTGTTTGTTTATAAATCCCTGAATGGTCTGGCCCCCACCTACCTCACAAAACTTTTAACCCCCTATGCTACCTCCAGATCCCTCAGGTCGGCTGACCTAGGGCTCCTAGCGGTACGACGCTCCAATTTTAAACACAGGGGTGACTGTGCCTTTGCGGTCGCAGCCCCCAGACTCTGGAACAGCATCCCCCCTTCTATCAGATTTGCCCCTTCCACTGACTCGTTTAAATCTAAGCTCAAAACATATCTCTTCTCTAAAGCATTTGTATCCCCCTGACATGATATTTTAATCTCCCACTCTGTGCTTATTTGTGCCTTGATATATGTATTTATGTATGTTGCTGCTATGGCTCTGGTTTTTGTGTTACTGTGTTTCTTCTGTATTTTTTCATTTTTATTTTTATAAGTTCAGCACTTTGGTCAACGTGAGCTGTTTTTTAAATGTGCTTTATAAATAAAGTTGACTTGACTTGACTTTAATTGCATTTTTAATTTTTTTGTTTTCCCGCAGGTTTTCAGTTTTACTTTTAGCAGTTCAACTTTAAATGGTTGTATTTTCTATTTATCTTAATGCAGATTTTTAAAGAAAACATAGATTCCAAATTGTGTCATGTTTTGTTTAAAATTCCCCCAAATGAACCATTTATCAGCCAAAAATTGTAAAAACAGAATTATAGTTGACTTTTCTAATTTTAATATTTTATTTTATTTTATTTTATTTTAATGTCTAATATTTTATTTTATTTATTTCATTATCTATTTTAGTATCTTATTTATATCTTCATCTTTATCTCTTGTTTCCATTCATGCTGTATTTCTATCTCTACTTTGCACGGAGCATTGGAACAAAAACAATTTCCCCCCAGGGATTAATAAAGTATTCTGAATCTGAATCTGAAAATCACTTTATTTTACATCTCATTTCAAATTTGTCCAAAAATAAACGGTTTGCAGGACAAGAGTGAAAAACTACTTTTAACGTTCGAACATCAAAGTTTAAAAATCTAATAAGTCATTTATAGATAAATACAGAACAGTCCCTTAGGTCAGTTTCAAGAGTTTTGGATTTTGCTCTGAAAGAAATGTGTAAAAATAATATTTGACTGAAGAGCAGCCTCATTTACTGGGTCTACCTGAAACCTATCATTTAAGGGGATAAAAATCTTTTTCAGGCATGTATGAGAAGAAGAAAGTGTGACGTCATAAAGAGACTGCTGATCAAAGTGTGAGTTTAAAAACAGAAACTTCAGACTGAAGCTGAAACATCTCTCAGTCACACAATTCAGCTTCAGTGGGATGAAACATGACGTCATCTTGTTCCTATTGAATCATAAGAAACATTTAAACTGAATCATGATGACGTCACAACACCTGCCTAATTAATGCTGCTCTGATGGCTGCTGCTCCCTGTAGGTCATCTGGTGAACTGCACACTGAAACTCAAACCTCTTTTCTATATTTATATATCTGTTTATATATGTATATATATTTGTTTATCAAGGGGTATTCCAGACAGCGGGTTATGTGAAAACTCAGAGTAAGTTAACCCTGAGATGAGGGAAACTATCCGTTCCAGAAAGAGAGGTAACTGAAACTCTGAGTCAGTCACCATGGTAACAGACTCTGTGAACATAACCTGTTCGCTGGCAGGTTTACTATAAGAATCCCTGAGTTTCTACCTGTCTCATCCCACTTGAAGAAAGCTGTTAGACATGGATTGCCCATTCATTCCCAATCCGATTGATATCGAAGCCGAACTGATTCGAAATGCTTTACGTCCCGAGAGAATCTTCCGACCCAGATTAGATGTCCTGTCATTTCCAGAGGAACATCTGTTCGAACGCTACCGCTTTTCATCAAACAGGATAATTTATCTCGATAACATTCTCCGGCCATACGTCACCAACCTCACACACCGCGGACGTGCACTCACATCACAGCAAATTTTATGCATACTGCTACGTTTTTTTTCAAACGGTAGTTTTCTGTACAACTTTGGGGATGCAGAGCACTTTGGAAAGGCAACAGTGTGTAGAGCTGTGAGGAAAGTAACCCTTGCACTGAAACGCCTGTTACCAATGATGGTGGTGTTCCCCGGACACAAACCTGTTAGAAACATCAAGAGGAATTCCACAGGATTGCGGGTGACTGATGTAGAAATCATATATTCTATTATTTTAAATTATGATTTACATTCTGCTGCGACCTCAGAGTGGGGTCAGTAGCGAAGGGGACTATGTGAATAGAAAATCCTTTCACAGCATTAATGTCCAGGTATATGACCTACCATCTTAAAAACTATGTACAGTACAGGCCAAAAGTTTGGACACACCTTCTCATTCAATGCGTTTTCTTTATTTTCATGACTATTTACATTGTAGATTCTCACTGAAGGCATCACAACTATGAATGAACACATGTGGAGTTATGTACTTAACAAAAAAAGGTGAAATAACTGAAAACATGTTTTATATTCTAGTTTCTTCAAAATAGCCACCCTTTGCTCTGATTACTGCTTTGCACACTCTTGGCATTCTCTCCATGAGCTTCAAGAGGTAGTCACCTGAAATGGTTT